CCTCCATTGATAATATAAAGAAAAATATTTCCTTAATCTCCACAAAAGGATTTTCTCATAGTGATGACAGCAATTTACTTTATTGTATAGATAAAGAGTATAGTATTCTTCTGTCTCTGAATGATCCCTTATTTGAGTTTAAGTTTCTTGATTTATATATTTTTCAACTTAATATTTTATGTGTTATTTTGAGATAATATTCTTCATTTACATTATATAGTCAAGGCTTAATGCTCCACTAAATAAAGACTTCAACAAATAAAAAGCAAAAGGATCATAGTTGAGGGGCTGGCACTGTGGCGCAGCGAGTTAATGCCCCAGCGTGCAACACCACCAGCATCCTATATGGGCGCCGATTCGAGTCCCGGCTGCTCCTCTTCCAATCCAGCTCTCTTCTATGGTCTGAGAAAGCAGTAGAAGATGGCCCAAGTCCTTGGGCTCCTGCACCTGTGTGGGAGACCAGGACAAGCTCCTGGCTCCTGGCTTTGGATCAACTCAGCTCCGGCCATTGTAGTCATTTGGGGAGTGAACCAGCGGAATGGACGACTTGTTTCTCTTTCTTGCTCTACCTTTCTCTGTAATTTTTCCAAATAAATAAAATAAATCTTTAAAAAAAAGATCATAGTTGAGTAGGAAAATAGGCAAATTCTATAAATAATAATTAAATGAAAAGATGTTCAGCTTCAGTCAATGTAAATTTTCAAATAAACAAAATCATTAAAACTATAGTAATATATAATTCTTTTCTTTTTTGAGGGTTTTTTATTATTAATTTTTAATTTACAAAACAAATATTGTAAAGTGGTAAATATAAGATCCCATTTATCCCTCAACCAGTTTCCCAACGAGCATCTCATATCAGTGCATTTGTCACCATTAATGAACCACACCCAGCTTCCCATTTTTTTTTATCTGAACTCCTTTTATCTTTTCCATCCCTACAAGCATCTAGTAATCATCATTCTGTGTTCAGATGGAGTGTTTTTTAACTTAATATTTTATTTATTATTTATAAGATAATGTATTTTTAATTTATATCATGGTCAAAACTTAATGCCCCACTAAATAGAGTTCAACAAATAAAAAGACCATAGTTAAGCAGGAATACATGCAAGGCTATACACAATAATCAAATGAACAGATGTTCAATATATGTATATGAGTAAATTGGACATCTCTTCATATATATATATATACACACACATTAAATTTTAAAATAATCACAGATAGCTAAAGCTATAGTAGTATATACTTCTTCACAGTTTGATAAAGATTTAAAAGTTTGACAGAACACTGTATTTACAGCAAAACTGACATACAGGTAGTTCTTTCCTTTTTTTTGTTTTTGTTTTTTGATTTTTTAAAAAAATTAGCTCCCACATATAAGGGAGAGTCTTGGTCTACTCTTACAAAGAAATAAGTTCATGGCTAAGTCATGGCAACTCACTTGGCAAATACTCATAAAAATGAGTGAGTGAATGGGTGGGCGTTTGGCCTAGCGGTTGAAGTTGCTGATTTGGGACACTGTGACTCATTTTGGAGAGCCTGTGTTTGATGCCTGGCTCTAGCTCCTGACTCTAGCTTCCTGCTCATGGAGACCCTGAGGGGCAGCAGTGGAAGTAGTTGCATTCCTACCACCCATGTGGGAAACCTTGGTTGAATTCTTGGCTCCTGACTTTGGCTTGGCCCCATCTTGACTGTTGTGGGCTTGGAGATGGACCAGTGGAAAAAAGTGCTCTCTGTCTCTCAAATAAATAAATCATTTTAAAAATCCAGTTGAAGTTGTTAAATCACCATTTTGTATGAGAGTTATATTAAATTTTTAAAGGGTAGCTATTGGCTAAGCACCCTGTCAGTGGCGTAGGCTTTTGTTGTTGTTCTTTTATGACATAGTATCACTTTAACTTGTCCTGTAATTGTCATACATCTCCAAAAGCCTGTCACTGTCATTTTGTTTAAGAACCCTTTGGTACTCCTCTAGCTATATGGCCTATTTTTATTATGGCATTATACCATGAAAATTGGTCTACTTGTCTGTTTTCCTAGCACATAGAATTTAGTGAGTAATTAATAATGTTTATTGAATGTTAAAAGAATAGTAAAGGAGGCTGGCGCCGCAGCTCACTAGGCTAATCCTCTGCCTTGCGGCGCCGGCACACTGGGTTCTAGTCCCGGTCGGGGCGCCGGATTCTGTCCTGGTTGCCCCTCTTCCAGGCCAGCTCTCTGCTGTGGCCAGGGAGTGCAGTGGAGGATGGCCCAAGTGCTTGGGCCCTGCACCCCATGGGAGACCAGGATAAGTGCCTGGCTCCTGGCTTTGGATCAGCGCGGTGCGCTGGCCGCAGCGCGCCGGCCGCGGCAGCCATTGGAGGGTGAACCAACGGCAAAGGAAACCTTTCTCTCTGTCTCTCTCTCTCACTGTCCACTCTGCCTGTCAAAAAAAAAAAAGAAGATATGAAAAGGGATTAGTAAAGGAAATTGAGATCTGTTATCTTCTAGCATTTACTCTTTTTTTTTTTCTTTTTAAAGATAGATTTATTTATATAAAAGTAAGAGTTACACAAAGAAAGGAGAGGCAGAGAGGCAGAGAGAGAGAGAGAGGTGTTCCATCCACTGGTTCACTTCCCAACTGGCTGCAACAGCCAGAGCTGTGCCAGTCCGAAGCCAGGAGCCAGGAACTTCTTCTGAGTCTCCCACATGGGTGCAGGGGCCCAAGGACTTGGGCCGTCTTCCACTGCTCTCCAGGCCACAGCAGAGAGCTGGACTGGAAATGGAGCAGCCAGGACTCGAACTGGCACCCATATGGGATGCCAGCACTGCAACATCTGCAAGCGGCAGCTTTACCCACTATGCCACAGTGCCGGGCCCTAGAATTTACTCTTTACCATGACAATTCTTTAATGATTAGATGTACAATTTCATAGTGAGCCACTGTATTTTGTCATGATTACAATATGTTTTCTATGATTAAAATATCTTTATTTCAAATTAAGTTTTGGATTGTAAGCATTGGCTTGATTAGGCAAAAGTAATCAGAGAACTGTTGAGGTGCAGCTCACAGCACTTCCTCCCACCGGGGCTGCACCGTGTACAGCCTCTCTTAGGGAGGGAAGCTAGAAACTGAATTAAGAGGGTATGCAGTGAGTTAGCCTGGCACACCGTCAAATATTATTTGTTGTATCGTTCATTTAACCCATTACTTACTTGGGCAAAAAAGTAAAGTCTTTAAAAACAGGATAAACCTCCATTGGCAGCGTCATTTCTGTTTATTAGCAGGAAATGATAGTTAGCGAGGAATGGAAGAGGAGAAATTATGCAGAGAAAGCATATTTTCTTTTCCTAGATATGTATATTTATGCACAAGTGTACAGGAAATTCATGAAGTACTCTTAAATTTATGAGTTCTACTTTATGTAAACATTCTGTGTAAGAGGATTTAAAAATCAATGTGCACATTCAAATCTAAGCTGTTTGGCCAACTGTTGGTCTCTGTGTGTCTAATTTTTTGGATATTTTAGGACATGGATCTTCTGAAGAGGAAGGAGTAGTCAGCAAAAGTTTGTTTTCTTTGTATAATGAGAAAGTACTAAAGTGCTTTTTATTTCATGATCAAATATTTAACTTCTCTTACAGAAATTTCAAGAAATTGCAGAAAAAAATATGGAAAAATTGAACCGTATGGAGAAGTCACATGAACAGTTGGTTCTTGAAAATTCACACTTCAAAAACATGTTATCAAAGACTCAAAGAGAACAGACATCCTTGCTGGCAGCCTGTGCACTGATGGCTGGTGCTCTGTATCCACTCTATAGCCGCTCATGTGCCTTATCTACACAGAGAGATTTTCTCCAGGAGCAGGCCAATACTTTTGAATTGTTTAAGTTGGAAATCAGAACACTAGCCCAGGCATTGTCAACTGTAGAGGAAAAGAAGCAAGAGGAAGCCAAGATGAAGAAAAAGCCATTCAAAGGATTGATACGTGTTTTTCGGAAAGGTGCCATTGCAATATTAGCAGCAAACAGACTCAAGATCTTGGGCCAGTCGTGTGCCTCTCTTTTTACCTGGATGGAGAGTTTCAAAGAAGGCATTGGCATATTAGTGTGTACAGGAGAGCCCAAAGACAAACATAAATTTCCAAGTAAGATATTTTGTGGTTTTTAAAGTCTAAGTTTATTTAAGTGAAATGTAATGTGAATATGCTTTACAATTTCATAAAAATTTCAAAAATCATGTAAAAAAATTTCATATGTATATAATGCATGCATATGTATATAAATATATATTTTATATAAACTAAGCCTAGATTTTTTGTTGTAAACAGATTAAAATATAAAATAGCAAATATGTAAAGTTTCAACTTAAAGCACTATTATATTTGAATACTCCTTTTGCAGTGAAAGGAAGAATTTGTATAATATTTGTTTCAATTAAGTCAGTCTAAAACTACCTTATTTAAAATTAATTATTGGTATAACTTAGTTTCACTTTCTATGCATCAGTATAAAATGATGACAGTCAAAAATCTGGTAAAGAATAGTATGAAAATGAGCAAAATACAAATTTTCTAACAGTTTTTTTGAACATCTCACAATTCTGAGAAAACAATGTATTTCATCCTCAACTTTCAAAAAAGGAGGCTATTAAGTAATATAAATAAAACCAGAGGAAATTTCTTTCTCTTTTTTCCTTTGGTGTCAGTCAACAGTTATATATAATTTAGATCAATCAAATCTAACATTTCTTGTAGAGTTTTCTCTACTAGGGCAATGTTCTGCAGGTGAAGTTTGATCTTTCTTAAATGGCTGTATACTGGTATGAATTTTAAATATTCTTTTTAATAATTTTTATAGCATTTCATAAATGGATTTTTTTTCCTATTTTTGCAGAACATCAAAGGGAGCAGTTACGTTGTTTACAAGCTCTCAGTTGGCTGACCAGTTCTGACCTTCTTGCTGCAATAATCAGTTCTATGGCTGAATTACAAGAAGTCATTAGTAAAACAGGTATGGTTCCCTCTTTTATGTCCTTGCAAAATGTAGTTAAAAGTAAATGTCGAGAAATTCTGTATGATACTAATTCACATAAACTATCTAGGAAGAAAATGTATTTGTTCTCATCACAGAGAGATTGTTAAATCTGTATGTAATGACATAATACATGAATGAGAATTTTGATGGCTCATTTTCTTTTTTGGTAGAGAAAATAAATGACATTTCAGGGCAAATGTTACCACCTATTTTTTTTTTCCTTTGTTATCTAGTTTTCCTATAGAAAGCTCGTCATTAGCTCTCTTACTAGGTAACAAATGCAGTGTCCTTTCAAATGTTTTGGCCTTTCTTCATTTCGTTTCTGCTCCTGGCTATAAATTTCAGAAGCTTGAGTAATAACTTAGCCAGTAGAAAATTTTTCTCTCTTGTTTGATGATGTGTTTTGATTTTTTCCAATTTATTTTAGAGTTAATTTGAATATCTGCTTCTTTCTACCACATGTGGAACCACCTATACTAAGTGATTTGTCAACGTCCAAAATTTAAGTTTATTTTTTCATGACTCAGATTGTACGATATATTTGTGAAAAGTTTAATGAAAACTAGTTTCTCTACACTTGAAGACATATTGGTTTACAGTTACTTACTGATTAAGCTATCTCATTGAACTAATTATGGCCATTTCAGACCCATTAATAGTAAAAATAATATAATGGACTGTTGAGATTTGCTTAATGAAATGTTGCAGGCATAAATGAGATGATCATTTGAGATACAGGTTAATTCTTTGTAAATATAAACCAGTCATTGTGATTTCAAATATCTAATCATAGCCTCTTCTAGAATGGAAACTTACCACAAGGATTGTTTTTAGGTGTGGTCACTGATGTTGTTTAGCAGTACGTATATTTAATATATTGGAAGAACTTAAGCTACTAGGTTTAGAGTCTGAAATAATACAAATTAAATATATATTTTAAATTTTATAAGTTATAAAAATTCCATGTATTTCGTATATACAGATTTAGGAACACAGTGATACTTCCCTCCTCCACATCCTCAGAATTTTGATATTACAACTTCAAAGTGAAGCATTTTTCAAAGACGTTAATAGCTCTTACATTATTTTAACAAACATGATTTGTGTTAGCCTTAATTTTTTATGTGTATATATGGACACTTAAAAGTACATTTGGTTTCTTAAGATTTAATCTACACTATCAATTTATATATTTTTCTTATTCTGCTATATATACTGAAGGAGATAAAAGAAAAATATGTGAATTGATCTGGGCCTCTAGAAGGTATGCATGATGATTATAGAACAAGAATGACAACTCATGCACAACTTTAGGCCAAATGGAATACAGTTTTTTTTTTTAAGATTTATTTATTTATTTGAAAGTTAGAGTTACACAGAGAAGGAGAGGCAGAGGGAGAGAGAGGGGTCTTCTATCCACTGGTTTACTCCTCAATTGGCTGCAACAGCCAGAGCTGCACCGATTTGAATCCAGGAGCCAGGAGGTTCTTTTGGGTCTCCCACGTGGGTGCAGGGGCCCAAGGACTTGGGCCATCTTCTACTGCTTTCCCAGGCCATAGCAGAGAGCTGGATCAGAAGAGGAGCAGCCTGGACTTGAATCAGTACCCATATGGGATGCCAGCACTGCAGGCAGCAGCTTTACCTGCTACGCCACAGTGCTGACCCCTACAGTTTTAAATGTTGTAAGAAACCTTAGAAGGTACAGCAGAATGTGGACTTGTGGAAGGGGAGCCTTTAGGATAGAAATGGTCATCTAGCTGGATCTAGAAAAATAGTAATTTAGAGAGGAGAGATGACATTCAGATGATATACTTGGTTTAAGCAGAGATGCAGAGGTGGGAATAAGCATAGAGTGGTTGTAGATATTAAAGAAGTAAGAGTGTAAATCCGTGCCTAGCGTGCCTGGCTTTTTGATGGTGATTAATAAGGGATATTCTTATTATATTCATATTGGAAGAAAGGTATATTACTGGAATGGAGTCAGACTATTGTGGTTTGGTAGAACCAGTAATCCTTCTGAGCACATTCTGAAAGTCGCCACTTGGAATATTTTTAGAGTTAAAATCTTGACAAAATTGTTATTTAGACCCCTCAAAAATATGTCTGGGTAAGGCCTAACAAGTAAAGGTAGGGCCAGGATGGTATCTTTAAGTGTTTGCCTTCCTTAAGGAACCTTTGATGTTAGACTTGATTAAGCCTCTAACAACCTGAGGAAAAAGTAAGTTTAGAGACATTTATTTTTAGGGGAGATTTTCAATGCTTGTTGGTTTAGAAACACTTAGGGAAGAATAAGTGATTGTTATTTAGAGGGATAGAATAATTGATATATCAGAATCATGAGGAGTGGTGAAAAGGATTAGATCTTGACAGGTCGATAATTGAGTATTATGTGATCAGTACAAAAATTATTAGTGTGGACCTTGTATGTAGATAATTTGACCATCTTAGATATATATAGAATAATTCCAGCCGGCACCATGGCTCAATAGGCTAATCCTCCACCTTGTGGCGCTGGCACACCGGGTTCTAGTCCCGGTTGGGGCGCCGGATTCTGTCCCGGTTGCCCCTCTTCCAGGCCCACTCTCTGCTATGGCCCGGGAGTGCAGTGGAGGATGGCCCAAGTGCTTGGGCCCTGCACCCCATGGGAGACCAGGAGAAGCACCTGGCTCCTGCCATCGGATCAGCGCGGTGCGCCGGCCGCAGCACGCCGGCCGCGGCAGCCATTGGAGGGTGAACCAACGGCAAAGGAAGACCTTTCTCTCTGTCTCTCTCACTGTGCACTCTGCCTGTCAAAAAAAAAAAAAAGTTAAAAAAAAAGAATAATTCCTTTAAACATAAAGAGAGGTTTATTATCTTTTCCAGATCATGTGCTTTCAGTTTTAATTGTGTTCCAGTAGTAGAATTTTCATATATTCTAGCAGAAAGGATGGGAACATATTTTTAGATACTTAAAGTCTGTGAGTGGTTATCAACAGATAGTAGAGTAATGAATGTAAAGCCATAACAGCTTATATAGTCACTGTTGAGTTTCTGATTTAAGTGCCTGAATAGCCTAAGTAGGTAAGCATTATTATATAGTAGAGAGAACATTAGCTTTGAACAAGGCAATTTGATTTTGTATCCAGCCCTTCTAGTAGTCAGCTGTATGAAACTGGGCAACTTATTTAATTTTACTACATTTCAGATTCTCCAGCTAAAATGAAGATAGTAGTATCTTATTCCTGGCTCTTTTTGGATTTAATGAAATAACATTTGTGGAACATTTTATATAGCACCTGGTAGTATAGTGAGTTCTTTAAAGAACAATTTTTCTTTTACCACCAATCTCACCATGAAAGTATTATATGACATCAATGAACACACACACACACGTACACACACACCTCTATAATTTGAATGCTACTAATGATTAATTTTCTATACTATATTTGTTGTAGTGCCCTATAAGGAGGGCAACAGTTTAGGTTTAAGCAGGAATTCTACTTGGCTTTGAATGCTGATTCTGCCATCAACTGTGTGTGATCATGAGTCAGTTGTTTAAATTTTTTATGTGCTGAGTCCCCCTGCCTTTACTTTAAATTTATTTACTTATTTGAAGGTAAGAGTTACAGAGAGAAAGAGAGACAGACACACAGAAGAGTGATGTCTTTATCCAACTGGTTCACTCCCCAAATGGCTGTAACAGCTGGGAGTTGCCCAGGCTGAGGTCAATAGCCAGGAGGTTCTTCCTGGTCTCCAATGAACACTATCCATAGGTAGTTTGGATATTTTTATAATATTGATTCTTCTAATCTATGAATGTGGAAGATTTTTCTGTTTTTGTTTCTTCTAATTCTTTCTTTAATTTTTGTCATAGAGTTCTTTGACATCCTTGGTTAAATTTATTCCAAGGTGTTTAGTATTTTTGTAGCTATTGTGAATGGCATTTATCTTAGAAGTTCTTTCTCAGCCATGGCATTGTCTGTGTATACAAAGGCCATTGATTTTTGTGTGTTAATTTTATATCCTGGGGCTGGCACTGTGTCTTGGCAGGTAAAGCCACCACCTGCAGTGCTGGCATCCCACATGGGCACTTCTTCGAGTCCTGGCTGTTCCACTTCTGATTCAGCTCTCTGATAATAGCCTGGGAAAGCAGTAGAAGATGGCCCAAGTGCTTGGGCCCCTGCACCTGCATGGGAGACCCAGAAGAAGCTCTTGGCTCCTGGCTTCGGATTGGCGCAATTCTGGCTGTTGCGGCCATCTGGAGAGTGAGCCAGCGGCTGGAAGACCTCTCTCTCTGCCTCTCCTTCTCTCCATGTAACTCTGACTTTCAAGTAAATGAATAAATCTTTAAATTTTTTTTTATATCCTGCCACTTTACCAAACTCTTTTAAGAATTCCAGAAGTCTCATTGGAACTCATAGAAGAGTTTGGCAAAGTAGCAGGGATATAAAATCAATGCACAAAAATTAACAGCCTTTGTATACACAGGCAATGCCATGGCTGAGAAAGAACTTCTAAGATCAATCCCATTCACAATAGCTACAGAAACAATCAAATACCTTGGAATAAACTTAACCAAGGACGTTAAAGATCTCTACAATGAGAATCACAACATCTTAAAGAAAGAAATAGAAGAGGATACCAAAAAATGGAAAAATCTTCCATGCTCATGGATTGGAAGAATCAATATCATCAAAATGTCCATTCTCCCAAAAGCAATTTACAGATTCAATGCAATACCAATCAAAATACTGAAGAAATTCTTCACAGATCTGGAAAAAAGTGATGTTGAAATTCATATGGAGGCACAGGAGACCTCGAATAGCTAAAGCAATCTTGTTCCACAAAAACAAAGCCAAGGCATCACAATACCAGATTTCAGGATATACTACAGGGCAGTTGTAATCAAAACAGCAGCATGGTATTGGTACAGAAACAGATGGATAGACCAGTGGAACAGAATAGAAACTCCAGAAATCAATCCAAACATCTAC